TGTGCTTTTTTTCTGTCCTTTTTGCTTTTTTGTATATTAGATCACTCAAACTTGTAGTTAATAATTTCCATTTGAATGATCTTTTTTCGTATTCTAAAAACAAAGTGTTACTAGTAATCACTCATATTACTATACTGCCCTATTGCTACTTAAATTGTCTATCTTGTGTTCTCTAATGGCTGACTGCTTTTGTTAATATTGTATATTTAAGTTCAATAACTCTACTTATTTCTTAATACATTATTTTTCTTTATTTTGTTTCATTAAGGTTAGAAATTAGTGCGCAATTTTTGAGGAAATTACGTTTCGTACCACTTCGTCATTCCAAGTTTCTGTAACAAGTGTTCGTTACGAATTTCGCGAGAGCAAAAAACAGTTAAAAAACACATTAGGGGGGTAGGGATGGCGATCGAGATTCAACTAAAAAAGCAGCATCTTCGGGGTAAAATATGCTTCTCAGCAATATTCTGATAAACTTTACTGGACTCAGAAAAATTCAATTAAACTCTGTGTCTCCTTAGCAAATGATAATAGACTTTGGTGGACTCTCACAGAGCCATCTTAGCATTTACTGAGCCTAAGAATAGGTCAAAACATTAGATTCAGTCATAGACTTAGTTGAACCAATAGATGGAACCAATCTGGATTGTTTATGATCTGTAGGATGTGGCTGTGATGAAAAACAATACACATCTACCCACACCCTCAACAATCTTTAGTCAAATAAGCCATCAAGTCAAATTCAAAAAAATACTGTTGGAAAAGTGAATTATGTGTTCTTGTTCAGATACTCTTCATAATAAAAAGAAGACTAAGAAAAATACTCGTCTACATTATGTATTATCTTTCCACTCGTCGTTGGCGGCGGTTGAGAAATTGGTAAATAGATATTTTTTTCCAAATTCAAATACATCCTTATTTCAATATATCACTCATAATCTGTTCAAAAAACGTATAGACAGCAACTATTGCATTCTTTCATATTGTATGTACAACTCAAAATGCAAAAAACAAATTAAGATTATCAGACAATCATTAACATTATTGCACGTTAAATAAAGATCAATATAAAAGAACGAAAACTTGATTTTCACTTACACAGACGTCAGCGACGGTAGCGGCAGCCCGAAAATATATAATTTTTCGCCTATCCGCGGCGGCCTAACCGATCGGCGTGTACCTCTAATTGTATCATTCTCTCTTCAAATACTGTTAACAAAGCATACAAAATTACATTCAATAACACATGCTATAAAAGCAATATCACATAACATATTTTAACACACTTCATCAAAATCTAACAAAACTATGTGTACATTTCTTACACTACCAGTAGAGCTTGTTAATCGAATTTTGGACCATGAGAACGATTTTACTTTGTTCTTGTCTATGCAAAATGTCTGTCAACGATTCAATCAAATCCTTAACAGTTATCCGCGATACCAGGTAGGTCTTCTATGTAGTTTTCATACGCAACTATCATTCGATGAATTGATTAGGAGACAACATAATTAAACAATATAAAACCATTTAGAGAAACCAAGTCGGCCAGAATAGTCAGTGATCTTTTGAAAAAAATCATCGCTTCTTTCTATTGTCCCTAATAAATATTTCAACAGAACTGCAGTATGCTTCCTCTCACACATAGGATCATCAGGGAAGAATAAGAACCGAGTCAAAATAAACATTGGCATTTTGAAATCATACAGATATTATAATATTGTACTGTTTCGACTGAATTTCCGATATAGCATTAACGACTTTCGTGTACTTTCATCCAAATTCCAATAAAACAAATGAATTCATCATTCTGTTAGTTAAACAACGAGGGTGTGGGTGTGAGTATAGATCTCAGCAAGGGAGTCATCCTACCCTCACCCACCTCACACTTGTTTCCCGCTGCATTCAGCCTCAAGATAAAAAAGCACAACATCTTAGTGATTCATTGAGGAACAGAACCGTAAATCACATTTACACTTTTCACGCAGGCACTTACCACACTTCGTGTCATTTATGAACCAATCGCAGAGAATGGAGTACAACATCTTGCTGATTCAATAAGAAACAATACAGTAAATGTCATTCTCTCTTAAACTATCTCAAATATGCATTTACATTTTTTCATACAGACACTTACAGCACTTCATCTATCAAACAATCGAATCGGAGAGAAGGGAGCACAACATATTGCTGATTTATTAAAAACAAATACAGTAAATATCATTTTCTCTTTAACTACGTCATACCAGCATTCACACTTTTTCACAGACACTCACCATACTTGATCTCTGCTGCAATCAAATTGGAGACAAGGGAGCACAATATCTTGCTGATTCATTGAAAAACAACACAGTAAATCTCGTTTACTCTTAAACTATCTCATATACACATTTACATTTTTCACACAGAGGCTACTAACACTTCGTCTCTTCAGCAATAAAATCGGGGAGAAAGGAGCACAATATCTTGCTGTTGCATTAAGAATCAACACAGTAAATTTCATTTTTTCTTCAACTATCTCATACATGCATTTACACTTTTCCATATAGACACTCATCACACTTAATCTCGACAGTAATTTCATCGGCGGCATGGGTGCAGAACACCTTGCTGATTCATTAAGAAACAACACAGTAAATCTCATTTTTACTTCAACCATTTCATACAAACATTTGTACTTTTCACACAGACACTTATCACGCTTAATCTCGATAACAATGTAATCGAAGACGTGGGTGCACAACATCTTGCTGTTGCATTAAGAAACAACACAGTAAATTTCATTACCTCTTGGACTATCTCATATACACATTTACGCTTTTTCACACAGACACTCACCAAACTTGAACTCGGCAGTAATCATATCGGAGACAAGGGAGCACAACATCTTGCTGGTTCATTAAGAAACAACACAGTAAATCTCATTTTTACTTCAACGATTTCATACAAACATGTGTACTTTTCACACAGACACTCACCACGCTTGATCTCTGCAACAATTATATCGGAGATAATGGAACACAACATCTTGCTGATTTATTAAGAAATAATACAGTAAGTCTCATTTTCTCTTGAACTATTTCATACAAACATTCACACTTTTTCACAAAGACACTCACGATACTTAATCTCATTAACTATCGATTCGAGAAGAAAGTTTTAGATGGTTTGAACGAACTTATTCAGAGAAATAAACAATTGGCAAAATCGTAAATGTCAGTGATGAACATACTATCGTGTTGAACTAGAAGAATGTGTCTATCGTCTTATTAGGATTTCATTGCATGGTTGACTTAAAAATGATAATATACTTGTTTGATTGCTTTGAAATCATGTTTACCAAAGCATCGATCTTGTTCTACTTTCTCTACTATAAAATGATCATAATATACTGGTTCTTGTTTAAGCTGTGTTCTGAACTGAAGGTGATTTGATAGTATAATTTCGAAGTATTATTTGTAATTCTGTGATGTATTTTTTCATGGATCGATTTCACATCGATAGACCACAGTTACCAACTATTGTGTGCTAATGAAACGAAACGAACTAACGTAAAAAGACGATTGTTAGCAGGATCAAAAGAATGGTGGTTAGTAGGTGTCATGTAGAACAGGATGAAAAGAAAATAGTTATTCAGTGTATGCTGTTATGTTAATTGCTAAGTTGATGCTGATTTTAAATGGCAGAGTAGTTTTGAGAAAATCCGGGACCTGTTCGAGAATTAAGTAACTTATTTAAAGTTTCTTTTGAAAACTGATCGAGAAAGTATCTGCTTCATTTTCTAATTCATGATAAATTTGATATAGAATTAAGGAAAATTCGGACGTTTGTGGTTTTAATATTGAATTAATGATGCTCTGGTAGAATATTATTTATGTATTTATTTATAAGATGCTGAAATTTATGACAAGCGTTTGTTTTCTCTGCAAGCTTATGTACGAAACTATTAATGACAGTTAAACAGATTTTTAGTGCAACAATGATGATATAATATTCCAAGTCTATTTAACAACAACAAGAACTGTTTCAATGATTACTAATATATATATGATGATTGAATGATGTCATGTTCAGTACGTTAATTCACAAAAGACATATCTTCGAAACGTATGTTTTAATCAAAATGAACAAGATCAGAATATGCTTTTACTGTAAAAGTTATTTTATCAGTGTTTCGAACAATCTTCAGTATGATAATTCAGTGTTTGTGTTGTGAGATAATGTATCTACATTATATACAAAATGTCAAAACTATGCAAATGAATATCTTCTTCGATGCTTTTTTAGATTGATTTGAAATAGTAAACATTTATTCATATTTATCTTTCTCATTGTTACATTTGTTTTAAATAAATGGTAACATCGATATTTACTCGATATGTCAAAAAAGAACTATAGAAGTCATTGTGCTAAGTTAGAACGATAGCAAACAATGGCAAAATATTAATATTAATAATATCATTCTCAGAAACTCTAATCGATTATTGTTGAATGTTAAAGAATAGATGAAGAATACTAAAGCCAAATGTACTTGATAGGTAATATCCCAAGTATAATTTTAAATAGTTTCTAATTTAATTCTGTTTGTGGGAATCACATGTTTCACAATTATTCATCACCGAATGATTACAAATTGTATAAACAAGCATTAGTATAAGTTCTCTTATTTGACAAAAGCATCATGTTTCCAAACTAACTATCAATCTAAAATCATCGAACTATGTATAAGATCTACGCCTTAGACTTTTCCAAACTACAGTGGGATACGAGGGTGTAAGTATGAACATCAAATGAAAAGAATATCCATAACATCACCCTCATACCCATCAGGAACTTTACAAAACAGTCTGACAATATTTCTATTGTTATAAAATGCAAAAAAAGATTCTGTTGAATAACATGAGTAAAAATAGATTATAAAAAATACAAAATGAAAAGAACAAAATATTGTTTTCGCTCATTTATTTTTATTCTTAATTTATTTATTCAATTTATTAATTTTAAAATGTTAAAGTAATTCTTTTCCATGCTATATTATCCACACTAACATCAACAACAAGTACATCAGAATTATTTCCTTTAGAAAAGATTACAACACGTTCAGCCATAACATATTTTCCTTGTTCAATCTAAAATTTAAAATATTTATATACAAAAACATGCAATTCAATATTCTTACATCATTAAATATAATCTTATTTGAATTTAGAAATCGAATACCATTTGATGTTGGAAATAAAAATTGTAATTGTAATATTTTATAATATTTTGATAAAACACATAAACGTATATGTAAAGTATTAGCCATTCTTTCAAAATGCCAATCACATGTATAAGGTGATTGGATAAGATCACTGAAATGATTTTGAATTTTGTCATTGGAAAAATATTGCCAATCAATAGGTAAACGAAGATGTTTATTCTATGTAGAAAAGTAAATAAAATACAAATGGTGAGAAGATGAATAAAATACTAACTGAAGTAGTAGTTTCATAATGAATATGCGTCGGTAATTGGGTTCGAATATCAGCAACTAATTGATTTAAATCCGATGTAAATGTATTTAATTTTATTTTATCTTGTTTTATTGTTATGAGTGAAGATTCCATTGATTTTACTGTACTATTATCGAATATAATTTCTTCTGGTAGATGATTATCAATTTTACAACAAATAAGATATGACAAATCGCTAAGAATAAAATTAAAATGAGATTATAAAAAAATATATCTTTTACTCTTCATCATTTTGTATATCATTAATTTCGAATTTTATTGATGATAAATAATCAAGACGAAGTTCAATTGTATTTCGTCGATAATAACCATTCGTATTTGATACTTCATTAGAATAATTCAAACGAAGTTCGATAGTTAAAGACTAAATATGTGTATATAAATAAAAGATTTTTTATCAGATATTTAAATTCAGTCTACTTCATTATTTGTTGATGAACGATCGTGTCGCAAAAGACAACGATCATAAATTTCACTAAGATCTATTTTTGGCTTTGTAGTTTGACCCATTAATATTGGTAAATCGAATTCTGTAATTTTAATACATTCTAAAAATAATTCAGATAAAGATTAACTACTTAGTTTTATAGAGATATAAACCTGTTATATTAAGACCATATGCAAAAACTTGAATTTCTAGAGTACTAATTTCACATTCCGATGATGAGTTAATTATGCCAAGTGTTACGAATAAACTATAAATTAATAAATGCAACTAAATTTAGTCAATATTTTTCATACTTACTCTTCTCCTCGATGAACTTGTGCATTGTATACTGATGATTTATCAATAAGATCTACTTGAATATCATTAACCAAAAGATATTCAACATTAAGAATAGGTAATTCATCAACAACATCAACAGAACATAAACAATGACGAATAGTTGGAAAATCTTTGAAAAGATATTCTTGATTTGTTGATAAAATATGATAACGAAGACCTAATTGATAAAAGAATTATTATTATGGTTTTTTACAAATTGAATTAATTAAACCTTGTATTCGATATTGACCACTTTCTTTTGGTATACAATCAATTAACAAACGTTTTGTTGTTCGTGATGGAACACGATATTTTGTTTCAAGTTTTGTAAATAATTGACTTTCAGTTATGAATTCTAATTGATCAATAAACATCGTGGATGGTAGATAATTTTCAACGACAAGTGCTATTTGTACTTGTTGATTTTTTATCCAAAGAAAATCTTTGAAAAATCAAATTCAAACATATGAAGAATTTTTCAAAGATTAAAAATAAGAAAGTTAACATTGCATACCTACTTTCCGGTGCAGAGATTGTTGTTGATTAGGTAGAGCACGTTTTGCATGATAGAGAAATGGTGAATTTTTCGGTTCAGCTTTCCATGCTTTCAATCGATCAGATAAAGGAAGAAGGTCGAGAGATCTATATATATATATTCAAAGTTAAAACATTAATGATACAAATGAAATAATATACTTTAATCGCGGAATACTACAATATGAACAAGCAATAGACTGGCTGCTACCATTTAAAAATGTCAAAAGTTGTTTTAATTCATCATCAGTCATATGTTCGATCAATGTTTCAATTGCAAAATGAACATTTCTAAAATATCAAAAGACAATTCATTTCAAATCTCGCATAGAAAACAATACAAACTCGATAATTGTTTTGAAATCATTATTTTTGAGGCTGATCTGAAGTGATTCATTGATGACTGTCTTTTGTATCAATGGAAAAATTAATTGATTATCTAAATTAATGAATCTCAGTAATAATAATAAAGAAAAACAATAGGTTATTCTACCATCAATTCCATAACCAGTACGAGCTCGTTTAATTAATTCATCAAAAAAGTTTATTTCATCATGATAACCACCCGGTTCATTCAATAATAATAAACCTGAAAATGCAGCTGATCGATAATATAATGCACTTTTTCGTTTTAGACCAATTAAAGCATATGTTTCAGCTAGATATGCATTCAAATATATCTAAAAATATAATTTCATTAACTAATTCATTCATCTTATTTGTAACTTACACTATCAATATGTTCTTTTAAATCATAACCTAATGCATTTATACGTTGAATATATTCGTCAATATCCTTTCGATATTTCTATGAAATGAAAAAAAATGAATCGAAAATAATGAGAAAAAGAAAACTCTACTTTCATATCATTTTGTTCCAATAATAAACTACACCAACGTAGACAAGCATCAAGTTCAAGTTGGAATATTTTATTATTTAATAATGAACTATTCGATGAACTATAAATTTGTATGGCTGATTCGATATCTGGTTGTGAACTTAGTAATGCATGTGATGATAGTTTTAGAATATTTTTTACTGACATCACTAATATTTTTAAAGAGAAATTATGAAGAGAATGAGAAAAATACGATATATTACTTTTAGTAAATGAACGTTGTGATAAATATGACATTGTTTTCGGAAATCGGGTTTTGGATTTGTTTGTTGATAGACAATTTGCGGCTACACGTCCTTCGAGTGCAGCTAAAACAGAAAATTATTGAATCTTTTATTTGTTTATTATAAGAAAAATATTAAATGAACCTGCATGCCATAAAATATCATTCTGAGATTTAAGTGCTTCAGCAGCACGTCGATAAGTTTGTTGTGCTCTATCAATAGAACCTAACAACAAATAACAATCAGCTTTACGTTTTAGAACTCGTGCATCAATGATCTTTTTTCCTAATCTAAATTATTTCAACTTTTATTTTAAATTTAACTAAAAATATATCGAATTTTACTTGTTTTTAGCTGCTTCTGCACTAACAATAGTACTAGCTTTGCTATAATGATTGAATATTATTAACATAATACGCATATCAAATTCATTTAATGTTGATTTAAATACTCGATCATGATTAAATCCATTATGATCTATAGCTCGACTTTGAAGTAAACTACAATTATCTTCCGAATTAACCATTAAACGTATATCAGCTAATTGAGAATCAATTGAAGATATAATTCCATTCGATTGTTTAGATTCAGATACATATTTTGCTAGATTAGCTTCTAAACAATGTAAAACTTTTGTTAAATCAGTATCAAATGAATCACGGATATTTGATGTCGCCAATGTTAAACTTTTAAGAAATGGACGTTTCACTTTTTTTGATGATTTATCAGATGTTTTTATTGGTGTTTCAATTGAAATAGTTGCCTCGTCTGTATCATCATCATCACCGATTACATTCTCAACTCCAACACCTTGAAATACTGGTGGACCAGTCAAACTATTTGTTAGTGATACTGAATCGGATGTCACGCTTCCAGTCTCATCAAGAGACATTGAATCTTGTTGTTTAATAGTTGGTAGTGGGTAAGGCATTGTATGATAAGAATCCACACTCATCATACTTGAAACTGATGGACGATATGATGAAGGTGCATAATCACTAGAATTAAAAAATAATAATAATATTTTATCTACACATTTAGTTACTTACGATTCATCAATAGTTATATTATCTAGTTTTCCATCGGTTGATATTTCATCGTCATCATCTATACTGTTTACATTTTTATAGCGAACAAATAAATGCACAAAGACATCTTTTTGTCTTTGTTTAATTTTTGTAAATTGATCAAGTACATCTCGTAATTCTTTACTTGTTTGTGAAACAGTAAAATATATAAATGCCAAAGGTCGCCGATACAATTGAATTTCATTCAGTGATGCTTCTTCAATAATTAAACTTTCTTTGACAAAACTATATTCAAGTTTAAATTGTTCATTTGTATAATTTTTATGTGTAAAAAGACTTGTGCAAAATCTAAATAGATCAGAATAAAATTTTTATATCGAAATAATAATAATATTAATGTACCTTTGAAAATCAGGTAATGGAGTTTTTTTTGGATCAGACAGTAATTCTTGTACGACAACTCGTGCTTGACGGTAATCATTAAATGATGTATCAAAAAATTGTCTAAACATGATTGTTCTAGTACTGATGAAACAACTCAAGTAATATTTATAAAAGCAAAAAGACAATGTAATTCAACAACTGAAAGATAACGATTCTTTATATGAAGAAAAAAAACACATCTAAGGATACACGAGCAAAAAGATAAGACATTTGTTTGAAGGAAGAAAAATATATAGTGGTTGATAAAACAAAAAAAAGAAATTTGTCAAATCTTTATTTAACACGTACAAAACATAATGCATACTTCTGCGTATAATGAAATACAATTAATAGAGTAGAAATTCTTGATAGCATTTGGATACTCTAACTTACTTGTTCGTATTCAATTCTTTAAACAGAAAGATCATGGAGAGATAATTACCTAAAAATTAATATATTTATTCGGACAGTATATGAAGCATTGAAATTAAAAGATAAATAGAAATAACGTCACAGATCAGTGAAACATTACGCAAAGAAAGTGATAAACACATTCTATTGACGCACAATGCAAACAACTACAATAAAATGTAGTCAAAGTTAAATCTGCAGATCTAATCTAACAGTTATTTTGAGGGTTTAAGTATTAGTGTGCGTTTTATATTCATTCTTGACATTATTCATGTATCTACACTGATCATACAATTCATCGTTTTTATGTTGCTTTTGCGTAACGAAAGAAAATATAACTCATATAAATTTTAGTAAGTTTATTGTGATCATGCTGCTGTTAAAAATAACAAGAATGTAGTTTATTAAACAAGTGAATAACTAGTCATGGTTGCAATATCATATTGATTATTCTTTCTATGAAACTCAAAGAAGATTTTTTGTATATAATAGTGTTTGTTCATGTCCATCTCATACCACATCATCTTTTATAGTATGATTTCAGTAGAATGTGTTCTTTATTTTGCTACAATAGTTTGAATAAGACTGCATGAACGACATACATAGCAGTTTTAGTCACTTATACTGGTGAAAATATCATACTGTGTATGAGATTAAAATGCATTTATAAAACCTGCAAACATAATAAAGATATTTTATTTTCTTGTATAACAACTAAATATAGTGTCCATAATGAGTGCTTTTGAATTTCGTTTTCTCGCCTATAGAATGTTACAGAATTAAACAAACAACGATATGAATCTATTGGATTTGCTTCAAGTTGAAATATATTGTGAACGTTTCGCCAAAAACTGTTTAGAGAAATGTTGATGTTATGTCAAAATTTTGAGTGTTTGACCTTTTGCGATTGTATATCGTGACTTAATGAAAATATAATATATACCATTTTTTTAGAGTAAGTTGAGCCCTATCGATTGGTGTATAACTTAATTTGAGAAGTGAAAAACATTAAGGAAAAAAATTATTAATTTAATTATGGTATGGCAGTGAATTTCATGAGAAATAGGTAAAACATGATGCTTTTCATCAATCTTCTAACTCATCTTTTGCATTGCTAGAATATTTTAAAGAAACGCTCAATATACGATTCGATGCAGAATTGAATGGACTACAAAATAGTGTATAACTTTTTTTGGCAATCAATCTCCTATTAAATCATTTGAACAAAATACTGACAACCAATAAATTTTTCGAGGGTGCAATAAAAGTGTTTGGATTTTTTCCCGGACATTTTGAAATAAACGGGAAGTACCGTATAGGCAGTTTTGTACAGTAACTCAAAAGCTATTGATTAGTATGTAAAAACTTTTCTATACCAAAAACGTCTCTAGAAAAAAATTTATAAATTAAATAACATATCGGCAATGAGTTTTGACTCATTTTTTAAAGGTCAATTTTTACAGTAATATAGTTTGGACTAAGCTGAACTCTCCTATAATAAACCTTTAGACTGTGATATTTTGGATTCATATATGAGTTAATAAGGTCTAACTTTCTATATGAGCAGCTCTGAAATCCGTTGACCCACATCATCTGAAAATGTTTCATGTTTTCATGAAACGTCTTTTGATACCTATATACTTTCTCACTATTAGACTGTGCACATAAATGTGATGAAAATACCGTCATCTGATGTATATTTTCATCCACACCCTCATCTATATTGCCTCTTTTTTATCGAAACTTTTTATTAGATAATTAGAAATTGAAAGCTTTTAGTGAGCAAAAAAGTGTCTTAAATCCAAGAGTTATTGTGTTATGCGTCACTCATATAGAAAAGAACATTTTGTTGTATGTCTGCTCATCAGAGAAGTTTGGAACGATTTTGTCTGCGAGCATGCGACATTTTTGCATTTGTTATTTTAGATATTGAATGTGATCGTCCTTTATGTTTCATGCCAATGAGAGTTGTCGAAAGTTCTGTTGATGGATCATATAATTCAACTAGTGCTTGAAGAAATGGACCATATCCACCAGTGACTAGTACTTGCCCATTAGGTAAAACAGATGATGTATGATCCAGTCGTGCACTATTTAAATCTTCAACAACAGTCCAATTACCAGTTGATGGATCATATAACTCGGCATTATTTAGAGGATCTCCTTCAAATAATGCTCCTCCGACAGCTAATACTCTTCCATCATTTAATAGAGACGCTGTTGTAAACGATCTCGCTTGATTTAAACTGCCAGTAATCGTCCAATGGCCAGTTGATGGATCATACAACTCAGTACTGGATAAATCTTCAAGCCCAAACATTGGAAATCCACCAATTGCTAATATTTTTCCGTTCTTTAACACACATGTTGACTGCCAAATCCGCGGATTATTTAAACTTTCTTGAATAGTCCATTTTCCAGTTGACGAGTTATATAACTCAACTATGTATCCAGGAGAGGTTGGAGTTGCCTTCTTATTATCTTCTCCACCAATCACTAACACCGATCCGTCATCAAGTATGGATGCTGTGTGGTCATATCGCGCAGCGCTTAGGTTACCAGTAAGAGTCCATTTACCTGTTGATGGATCATATATTTCAGCAGTGTTTAAAACTGTCCCATCACTACCTAATCCACCAACAACTAAGACTTTTCCATCTTTCAGCACAGATGCAGCGTGAAATACTCTTCCATGTATCATATTACCAGTTTTAGTCCAATTACCCATTGATGGGTCATATAACTCAGTACTATCTAAAGTTTGTTTATCAATTTCTCCACCAGCAACTAGTACTAATCCATTATGCAATACAGATGCCGTATGGACTTCACGTGCATATGTCATGTTACCAGTTTTAGTCCATATACCTGCTGATGAGTTATATATCTCAGCAGTGTTGTAAATTATAGTACCACTTCCACCTCCACCAGCTACTAATACATTTCCATTCTTTAATAAAGATGCTGTATGATCTGCTCGTCCACATGTCATATCACCAGTATAATGCCATCCTAGAAGAAAACGTTCGAATACATATTCAAGTTCAAATTAACTATGTTGTCAACTATCAAACAGACTATTTGACCCTCTTCAACAAGAAAAAATGCTCATTTTCAATTTAAAGCTTTCCATAGACATGAATTCCAACAGGAATAGTTTATTGTGAAATCATTTACTCACATTTTCCCTCTCTTCATCGAACATTACCTATAATCGTGAAGTCTTTCATGCTTTTTTTTTCATCATATGTAGAATATTGTTCTATAATGAAAGCTCACAATTGAATTACAACTTCACAAACGAAATATTTGGAACAGTGAAAAAAAACAATGCTCTCAATTCTTCCATGAAGTCAAGCCAACCCAGTCCTAATGGTCCCGCATTTCATGACTATAATAAAAATCATTTCATACCACTTACACACTAGATCTGCATTAAGTTCCAATTCAACTGGATGGAGATTTTCTTAACTCACACTATATTGACTACTTAGTCATTTAAGGGTACCCCACCCCTCTTTTTGACGATTTCTAGATCTCGAAGACGGCAAGTCCGATCGAGCTGAAATTTTTACTGTAGATAGAGGACCTAAATTGATTAGACCCGTGTCCGAGGAAAAATTTTTTTGAGGGGGTCTTTTTGGTTTTTTCAGAGACCCATTGGTTTTCATTGTGCCCAAGGTTTTTGCCATCAAATTTCGTCCGATTAAGCTGAAATTTTTTTTTGGGAGTACCTACGAATGTATCTCAGAGGTAATTTTCAGCTTTTTTCAAAAGCTCACTTTCTTTTTGTTTTATAGCAAAAATACCGAAAAGATGCTTGAAGCAACAACACGGAGGGTCTTCAAAATCCTCTAAATCGGGATAGATTGGTCAGAAACGAAAACGGTCAATTTTACCTCTGGGGAATAGGTGAAAGTATCACCAGTAAAAATTTCAGCCCAATCGGACAAAGTTAAGGGGGGGTTATATTGGGCACAACTCGGTGTTTTGGACAAAAAACTGGTTTTTGAGAAAAATGTAGAAAAATTTTGGTAACTACCTATTTTTTTTTTACTTTTTTATGAATAACTTTTCATGGAGAATCTTCTGAGCGCAGAAAAAAAGTTTTTTGAAAAACGTTTTTTTGGGCGAGAGATTTTTTGTGGAAATTCGATAGAAAATGAACGCCAGATGCGATTGAGGTTTTTCAAACGCCAATCGAAATGTCAACAGAGGGTCTACCAATGGCACATAAAAAAAAAATTTTCTGAAAAAAAAATTTTGAAAAAAAAAGAGGGGGGTACCCTTAATATGTTAATAAATTGCAAGTATATAATCCTTGGATATCAATTTGTTGATAAGAATCGAAATTTTCAATTATTTCGCTACTTTCAGATTATAGCTACGTAGTTCAATATATAGATATGCAGAAAATAGATAGTTTTCATATATAAGTATGTTGAAAATTACTAAAAGTCATTGCATGATAGGAACGATTGGCTATGCTCAATGAATGTCATAGATTTCGATGAAACTTTGTTTATGTGTAGTCCCAAGTGTTCTAAAAGGAGATTCACTAGCTTTGTCTACGATAAATGGTCCATGTCTATCCGACAATAAAAATTACCCGATTTCATAGTTGCCATAGTCTTGAAATTTCTTGGAGAAGCCTTGACGAAGTGTAAGATCAACAATAAAATTATTGTTGAAACTATAAATAATAAGAATAATAAATATATATGCTTATCATCTTTAGTACAATACTCACTGTATATTTCCTTGTTATACATATTATTTTATTTTGCACCAAAGCCAAATTATTCAGAAAATAAATGAATGAAGAATCGTCTGCAACTAGTTTATATATATATATCTATTATTAGTTTAACGAGAACAACAAAATGAAAATATTCTTATCTTTATATAAGACAAATACTCGTCGGAAGAATAATGTAAGTTTTATATAGGACATTTTTTATTTAAATTCGGTCAAATATTCTAATTTAAATATTATTTCGCTTCATGTGACGTTTGAGCATTCATTATCGATTTGATTTCCTTACATAAATCTCTAAATATATTATATATTGTTTTAATATCTTGTTCGATGAAAACATTGAGTTTATATGAACTTTTCAGAGTGTGCAATATACATACTTTTATTGACTTATTACAGTGTATCCTATTAAGTGATGTTTTTGTAAATCTTATTTAAGACTGTTCTTTTTTAAAATTACTTTTAGTAACTTTTCTCCTAACAATTTGCGTTAAATAGAAATACAATATAACATAGTTATAGTATATAAGGTAATAATATACATTCTGAATATTGCAGAGACAGTGTTGATGTTAAAATATTTTTGATATGATTTTAATTGTGTAACATAACCAGCTGTTATCATTCTTCGGTATTTTGATTTAATAGTAATGAATGACACAGAATTTTAAAGAAAATCAAAGAACTGTTCGAAAACTAAGTATGTTGTTGTAACTTGCTCTAAAAAATCGATCAGGAAAGTATTTGTTTCAACTTTTGAGTAATAATATATTTGATATAGGATTAAGAAAAACTAAGTCATGTTTAGAAACTGGAGCAAAACGAAATATTCTCATTGTTGATGATATTGATGGTGAGTTTATCATGTTCCGTAAGAATATTATTCATGTATTTATTTTATGAGATGGTGAAATCTATCACAATCTTTTGTTTTCTTTGTAAGTCTAGGTGCGATACTTTTAATTACTTTTACTGTTAAAAATACATCATAGCCATAGATTTTTAGTGTAGTATTCATAATATAATATTCCAAGACTATTTAAGAACAGAAACTGTTACAATGATTACTAATACATATATACATCAGACTTTTTTAATCAATCGAATTTCTCATAATCAATCTAATACAGGCATCTCTGCTATTGTATGCCTTTTAAATAGAGAAAATACTCTTACCTTTTTTCACACATTAAAATCAACAGGATTAGAACGTAGATTTACTGTAAAAGTTATTTTTATCACTATTTCAAACAATCTTCAGTATGATAGTTGACAGTGTTTGTGTCTTGAGATAAATGTACTTATATTATATACAAAATATCAAAACTATGCAAATCAACATCTTCTTCAATGCTTAGTTTGATTTAATTTGAAATAGTACGCAACTATTTATATTTATCTTTCTGATTGTCACATATGTTATAGTATTAATAACAGTAGTATGAGAAGGTTTTGAACTATGATTGTATTATCAATTACAGTATTATAGAAGAAAATATGAAGAGCGAATCCATCAATATAAATATAACACTAACGATATTTATTCGATATGTTACAGAAAAGCCGTAGAACTCATTCTGCTAAATTATAATGACAACAAACGATTACAAAATATTAATATTGATTATATCGTTCTCACCATGAATACTAAAATCAGATATGTTTGATAGGAAATATGGCGAACACAAATTTAAATAGTTTCTAATCCAATTTTTTTTTGTGAAAATCACACATTTCACAATTATTTACCACCACATGATTAGAAGTCGTATTGAGAAACATTGATATAAGCTCTATTATTACATAAAAATATTTAACCTTCGCGAACAGCAAAAAAAACATTATTTCCGATAACAGGCTTGCATCAATTGAACTTTATAAAAATTTAATTGATTTTTGATAATTAAAAAACTCTGTTAATGAATTATTTTCTAAATATCAATCTTAAATCATCCAACTGTGAACAAGAACTATGTGCTACATCTCTTCAGAGTAGAGTGAGGATTGAATGAAAAGAATAAACATTAGTTTAGTGCATTTATTTTTATTCTTAATTTATACAAGTAATTTATTCAGTTTATTTTGTTTTAAAATGTCAAAGTAATTCTTTTCCATGTTATATTATCCACACTAACATCAACAACAAGTACATCAGAATTATTTCCTTTAGAAAAGATTACAACACGTTCAGCCATAACATA